CTTCCTTTTGAGGCCCCGGTTCGATTGTTTGGTGACGATGGGGGGTGGTTTGGTGGTTTGGGTTATCTTCCGGCTTGTCGGTTTTCTCTGTTTTGAGGTCGACGGACGTTTGCCTGTTGTTTTTTAATGTTTTAAAATCTTAAAAAGTTTGAGAAGAATTGAATAGAGGTATAATTTGTTGGGTTGGTTGATAGATTCAGGAAATGGAAAGGTTGGCTGGGTCAGAAAAGTTTGAAATAAATAAAAATTGTTAGTTATTAATGACTGATTCAAAAATTTGAAATTAGTCGTTATCAGGATTTTAGAACAAAAAAGAAAACATTGATAACTGATCTTAAATTTGATCAAACACTGATTCAACACAGATGGATAAAATTCTAAATTTGGGATGTAGTTAATAAAACTTACTTCAGAAAAAAAAATTATTCCTAACCCGCGTATATGGATATAGATTTACGGACAAACCACTTGATCTGTATATGTTGGGTCTCGGAATCTTCTCCAGCAAACTCCCACTTGCAGGTGAAGTCGTTGCTCTGATTCTTCACTACATTGATCCTCTTCTCGATCTTATAAATGGAGGCCCTGTTTGCTCCATCGTGTTGGGGCTTGTACGACTCGAGGGCTTGGGTGCCCTGCAAGATGGTGATGTCTTGTTTTGTGGGCGGGTTGCCGACACCGATGATGAAGTTGCACCTGATAATGATCTCTTCACCATCGAAAGCTTCCTCTGGTTCGATTGTGATCTGAAAATCTTGTTCTGGTTGGATGGAAGGTTGGTTTGTTTGTTTGTTTGTTTGGATGTGTGCGTGCGAGAGTGTGTGAGTGTGTGCGTGCGTGTGTTGGAGAGAGAGAGAGAGAGAGAGAGAGAGAGAGAGAGAGAGAGAGAGAGAGAGAGAGAAGCAATACAGAGAAATAATAATTGAGAGGAAGGTAGAGGAGGAAGCAAATGTATGCAAGCAAGCATCAAAGTACAAACCCACAACAGCGACCAGGTGGTACTCATAGGAGGTCAGCATGTACCGCCGGGTGTAAAAACCCGAATTCTTCGTCTCTCTATGCAAAAGATAAAATTATTCATTACATAAAATTTTGAGTTGAAATGTTTTTTAAATTACATGTCTCCGGATGATCGCAGTATAAATGGCTATTCTGCTACTGTTTTATACATGAATGACAGAGCGAATGAAGAGGAATGAAAGAATAAATAAAGGAAAGAACGAACGAATTAACAATCAAACGAATGAAAATTTTGACCAATATAATCTGAAAAGTTGAAATTTACATAAAATCATACGAACGCTTTTATGCCATTTGGGTCGAAACGCTCACTGGTGTCAACTTTATGTCTGTACCAGTAGGTGTAGGAAGAAGAGCCGGATGGTAACGTCATAATTTCGCCTTTCTTGCCAACAGTGGCCTGGCTTTTGTCCATCTCAATTTGAGCCACTGCTTTTGGGAGAACTTTGAGAAAAAGTTTTGCAAAATTGTAATAAAATTTTATTATATAATAATAATAATAATAACCTAGATACAAGAAGATGACAATGACTCTGAAGCAATACATTAGTTAAATTCATTCACCACATTTACAACAGCATCTTAAACAACAATAATGATAATAATAATATCAAGAATAATAATAATAAGAAGATTATGGCTAATAATAATAATAATAATAATAATAATAAAAAGAAGAAAGTGTTATTATTATTATAGGAACAGTTATTATTAACGTTGTTAATATTATTCTTATTGTTGTTTTTATTTATTTATACGCCAGGTTTGTTTATATTCTTCAAAGGTTACAAAGTTTTTTTTTGTGGAAAGGCCATGTTACGTAACGCATTTATTAATATATTATTATTAATATTATTATTATCATAATAATTATTATTATTAATATATATTCGTATTCACATTATTCAACAGTTTGACTGTAGAAATTGACCAGCACCAGCTTGTTTAATAATTCATTTATTTATTCACGCCTTATCCCTTCAGGGCATTGGCGAAAACCGACCTCCACAAAACCCGATCTTTAACAATTTGTATTAGTTGAATACCATCACACTTCAACTACTACAAAGATCTGGTTTTGTGCAGGTCGGTGGTCGCTAATGTCTTGAAAGGATGAGGAACGAGAAAGAAAAAGAAAGTGTATTCATGTAGCCTTACCATCGTTCTTCTGCATTATAATTTTTTTACTACATCAGGGGTGGGTAAATTACGGCTCGAATTACAGCCATTATGATCAAAGAAAGGAACCACAAATCTTAAAAAAATTCTCCCTCGAGTCGAAAAAATTTGCTATTCAAGTGCATGTGCGGCCCTTCAATGGTAAAATAGTTCTGAATGCGGCCCTCACAGCGAAAAATTTACCCACTCCTGTACATACTACACTATAACTTTTTAATGGAAATTATATAAAAACGCGTTCTAGCGTTAGATAATGTTTACTAACACCTCTATTTATTTATATTCCTTCTGAAACAAATTAGTTTTTTTTAGTTTTAACAAACTAATGAATAAATAAATAATAATAACAATAGTAATAATTATAAATACTAATAAGATGAATCAGGCGGGATTTATGTTCGGGCATATATTCATAATTTGGTTTTTCATCTCGCCCGTTATCTTATCTTTCGCCATAAGTTGTGAGTTTTTCTATATTTGATGAGAAACAATTAGAAATGCTTAGTTTATATAGCGCTTAATGGACGTTATTAAAAAATTTTCAAATTAAATATCCCGAAAAATACGAAACCTCTTCCTCCTTACCGGACCAATGCGGTACAAATGAGGAACACTCAACCCCTTCAGCTGAACCATTTGCCGACAAATTTGTTCCTTATGAACAATTATTTCAATGTATTTATGTGTTGGTTATTAATTTAAGAAAAATTTATTTTATTGTATTAAAAGTTTACATACTTGAAACAAACACGCCCGTAAAGATTATTACAAAACTGAGACCGTGGTTGTATACGCGCGATTCAACGAGGACGTCTTTCCAAACTTCAGTTTTTTGGCTCAGAAATATTATTGCAGTATGGCGGATTGGAGTCCCAGCATCCAGGAGTATGTTGTAGCGCAGGCGTTCTTCGTTTTGACAATAAATTCCGCCATCTATGAACATTCCAAGTGCAAAAAGTTGTTCAAACTAAGGCTTCTGCTGTTCGTGTTCGGTGAATTTTTTCAAATGAATTTAACAATGCCAATTATTCTCTTAAACAGTTTCAATATGACAAACGAAAAATTTCATCAAAACATCCATCGAACCAGACATCACGTTGGTATTCTCGAAAGCCGAAGTTGAGTGGGGTGAAGAGTTCGACTTCGCCTGCTTAGCCAATGTGTCGCCCATGAAAGGAGACACCCAGATAATAAAAATAAACATGTACATCGTAGTTCCAGATGTGGCAGAGATACTCGTGACGTGCGGCGCTGATTTAAGATGCTTATTTTATCAAGGGTTGAATGCTACCGTGAATAATAGCAGCTCTCTTACCTGCGGCATCAATGGCTCGGCTGGGGATATCGGCTTCAATTACTCCATCTCCAGAGTTTACCCATTCAAATGTTCGTTTCTATGATGTTCAGACGTGTTTTATGTGGTCTAACTGCTAATTTTTTATTTCATGCTTGGTAAACTAGCAACTAGCAGAGGGGAAGATCGTGCAAGGATCCGATCCTGGTGACACCTTCCAACACCTGCTCTCGTGTCAATGACCGCGTTCGAAGGCGAAGAGGAACTTTCCTATCAGCTGGTGCAATCTTTTCCATGCGCTGTTGATACGTCTGAAAAATAATTAAGAAAGATATTTGATAAATAATATGTACTCCGTTTGATTAACAATACCCATAATGATCACAAAACTTACAAAAATGTTCAACTACAATCACTTTTTTAAACAAAAACAGTCCAGAAGATAACGGAAATAAGATTTAACAAAATAAAGCTATGCGTGAACAAGAGGACGACCTTCAGATGCACTTCAATCGCACACCCGCCAGCCACTGTCGAAAGAATCACCTGCTCGCATGTCAACTCAACCACAGTCATCAGTGGAGGGGCCGAGCTTTTCTACACGACCAAAAATGACACGATAACTTTCATTCGTTTTGGTGTTTATACATGCACGTGCTCCCTGAAGAATGAAGTATACGAAGATAAGAGACTGTCCAGTCGTGAAACATCTAGGAAATTAAAAGTCTTCGCCCCAAACTGCTGTCAGTTGGTTGGCTACTTAGCTCTCAGTTTTTTTTTATAATTTTGAAATTCTTTATTGTATTGTGTTAAAATGCATTATACTGCATTGTATTGTGTGGTATTGTATTGTGTTGTAATGTATTGTATTGTGTTGTAATGTAATGTATTGTATTGTGTTGTAATGTAATGTATTGTATTGTGTTGTAATGTAATGTAATGTATTGTGTTGAATTGTATGGTATTGTATTGTGTTGTAATGTATTGTGTTGTAATGTAATGTAATGATTGTGTTGAATTGTATTGCAAAGAACATACAACATTTCGTATCGTATCACACTAACGCACTGATATCGTTTCGTTTCGTTCGTTCGTTCGTTTGCAGATAACACAACAGGTTAATTTCCAACTGGGTTTGTGCTAGTATTTTTGGCAGTAATGCTAACAACAACTACAACAATAATAATAAAAATAACAATAATAACATCAACAATAATAACAATAACAATAATGGGAACATCCTTTTATTTTCTAACTCCAAATACCAAATATTAATAATGAAATAATTATAAAATCCTATTTAATCATAATTTATAATAATAATAATAATAATAATTTTTATGCTGAAAGTTTACGACACAGAGATAAATGTATCGCTTGGCCTGATAATTTCTTTCCTCATTCTGGCAGCTGTTGCTATGCCAGCTGCTCGCTATGGGTATAAACATTACCAGAAGAAAATTATAAAAGAGAGTAATAATTATTAATAATTTTAGTTATAATAATAATAATATTGATGATGATGATGATGACGACGATGATGAGGTTAATGGGGAGGTTGAGGATGCTGATGAGAATGATGATGGCGATGTTGATGATGATGATGATGATGGAGGTGATGGTGGTGGTGATGATGATGACGACAATGATGATGATGATGGTGACAAAGTTTTTTTTAAATTAATAGGAAGACTTATAGGTTGGTTTTTTAATATTAATAATGATAATAATAATAACAACAACAATAATAATAATTATTATTATTTTTATTATCATAGCAATCATCGTCATCATCATTTTTATAAATGAAATTATTTTAATTTTTGTCATAATAAGTAATGAAAAAGCTCATTAAGAAACGTTTTAACGGTTGGCTGACTGACTGGTTGGTTGGCTGGTTGGTTGATTGATTGGTTGGTTGATTGATTGGTTAGTTGGTTTGCTGGTTGGATTGATTGATTGGTTGGTTAATTGATTGGCTGGTTGATTGTTTGGTTGGTTGGTTGATTGATTGGCTGGTTGATTGTTTGGTTGGTTGGTTGATTGATTGATTGGTTGGTTGGTTGATAGATTGAATAAATGAGTTAAAGTGAGCGACTGAATGAATGATAGATTGATTGGATAAAAAAATGAGTTAAAGTGAGCGACTGAATGAATGAATGAATGAATTTGTTATTCAAACAGAAGAGAAAGCCTTAACAGGTTTTTTATTTTAATATCATTTTTTATATCGTCGTCATCATCATCATCACCACCATCATCATCATCACCACCATCATCATCATCACCACAATCATCATATTCATCACCACCACCATCTAAATTCTGGCTCATATATTTTAAATACAGAAAAAGAGGAAGGTTAAATATGATGAAATAAACAACAACAACAACAATAATAATAATAATAATAATATATATATAAATAATTATTATGATTAATTAACATTAGAAGAAAGCAACGCCAGACAAGAGAATCTATGCTTGCTAATTATAAAGTTACTGAAATTGAAATACAGACTAGAGCAGTAATATTGAGAACAGCCTTTTATTTGCATTAAGAAATGAAACGAACATGAAAAAAAAGAATCATTAAAAGTTTATGGCTATTAAATTTAGTTTGAGTTAATAATGCAGTGATTAAAATATAATCAATAAAATTTATACAATAATAAAATGGAGTTATTGATAATTAAACTTGCAACTCGTTGCCTAACGAAAAAGTTTAAAAGCATCAAAGAATGTTATCAGTTAATTGCGTTCACAGTGGATGTCGTGCGACTGGGTTGTTGCTGTTAAAATCAACTTATTTACAAACGAATCTGGCCATATTATGTTAATTAATTGTAAGATAATAATAATAATAATAATAGATTGGTTGATAGATTGATTGAATAAAAAAATGAGTTAAAGTGAGCGACTGAATGAATGAATGAATGAATTTGTTATTCAAACAGAAGAGAAAGCCTTAACAGGTTTTTATTTTAATATCATTTTTTATATCGTCGTCGTCATCATCATCATCACCACCATCATCATCATCACCACCATCATCATATTCATCACCACCACCATCTAAATTCTGGCTCATATATTTTAAATACAGAAAAAGAGGAAGGTTAAATATGATGAAATAAACAACAACAACAATAACAACAACAACAACAATAATAATAATAGTAATAATATAAATAATAATAATAATACATATATAAATAATTATTATGATTAATTAACATTAGAACAATGCAACGCCAGACAAGAGAATCCATGTTTGCTAATTATAAAGTTACTGAAATTGAAATACTAAGTAGAGTAATAACAATAATAATAATAATAGATAGATTGGTTATGGTTGATAGATTGATTGAATAAATGAGTTAAAAAGGAAGCGACTGATTGAATGGATGAATGAATAAATTTGTTATTCAAACAGCTGAGAAAGCCTTAAGAGGTATTTTATTTTAATATCATTTTTTATATCACCGCCATCATCATCACCATCATCACCACCATCATCATAATCATCATCACCACTATCATCATCACATAATCATCATCATTGTTAAATTTATTAAATCTTATTCTAAATACTCCAACATTTTTTCGAATTTTCAATTAATTTAATAGTAACTATATTACTATTACTACTTCTACTACTACTACAACTGCCACTGCTGCTACTACTGCCGCTACAACAACAACAACTACTACTACTAATAATAATAATAATAATGATAATAACAATAGTAATTATATTGGTCATTATTAATATTAATTAATAATATTAATTAATATTAGTTATTAATAATAATTAATATTAATATTAATTAATTATTATTACGTCCTACCTTGGGGAACCGGGTCTCTGGACGCAAAACGAAGATTGATTGATTATTATTATTAATATTATTTAACTATCTAAATTCTGGCTCATATATTTTTAATACAGCAATGGAAGAAGGTTAAATATGATGAAATAAACAACAACAACAACAATAATAATAATAATAATAATAATAGTAATAATATAAATAATAATAATAATATATATATATAAATAATTATTATGATTAATTAACATTAGAACAATGCAACGCCAGACAAAAGAATCTATGTTTGCTAATTATAAAGTTATTGAAATTGAAATACTAACTTGAGCAGCAGCAGCAGCAACAACAACAACAACAACAATAATAATAATAAAATAATAATAATATTACTAAAATAAATGACAAAAATATTATTTTTTATTCATTTTTAGGTCGCACCTCAGAACGCAAGGCATCTAAACACGGAAAATTAGGTAAAGTTAAATTTGTGACCTACTACCGATACTACTACCACTACCACTCCAGCTTCTGCTACCACTGCTACTACTACAACTACTCCTACTGCAGCTACTACTACGGCTGCTATTAATAATTAAAACCATCATCATCATAATCATCATCACCACCACCATCTAAATTCTGTCTCATATATTTTAAATACAGCCAAAGAGGAAGGTTAAATATGATGAAATAAACAACAACAACAACAACAATAATAATAATATCATAATAATAATCTAAATAATAACAATATATATATGTAAATAATTATTATGATTAATTAACATTAGAACAAAGCTACGCCAGACAAGAGAATCTATGTTTGCTAATTATAAAGTTATTGAAATTGAAATACTAACTTGAGCAGCAGCAGCAACAACAACAACAACAGCAACAACAAGAATAATAATAATAATAATAATAATAATAGTAATAAAATAAAAATATTACTAAAATAAATGACAAAAATATTATTTTTTATTCATTTTTAGGTCGCACCTCAGAACGTAAGGCATCTAAATACAGAAAATCAGGTAAAGTTAAATTTGTGACCTGCTACTGCTACTACTACTACAACTACTGCAACTACTGCTACCATTTCTACTACAACTACTGCTACCATTACTACTCTAGCTACTGCTACCACTACTACTACTACAACTACTCCTACTGCAGCTACTACTACGGCTGCTATTTATAATTACAACCATAATGAGGTTATAGATTTTTGATTGTAATCGCGAAGGATCGTAAGAATTGATTTGATTGTTTCTATAGATAACAATAATTATCATTAATATAATTACTTATATTATGACAATAATTATTATTACTAAAATTATCTATATTATGACAATAATTATTATTACTATAATTATCTATATTATGGCAATAATTATTTGTTTTTAATGTAGCCAACAAGAAGTTATCCAATTTGGCACACAGCGGTTAAAAAATTTTCGTTAATTATACGTATTATACGTGCACACACACGTACACACACACACACACACATACGTATACACACACACACGCACACAGACACACATAATAATAGTGATAATGATATAATCAATATAAAAAATAGAAGTGAAATATAACAAAACTATTCACAAAGTACTGAAACCTTACTCAAAATACATAATTATATCTTCTTCTCTAGTGACAATAGTAATCTCTCTCTCCTTCTTGCTCTTGACTTTTCCTCTGCTTTTGATACTGTTGATCATACTATTCTCTTGAGACTGCTGCATCTTTCTTTTAATATTACTGATTCTTGTCTATCTTGAGTTTCTTCTTATCTCTGTAATCGTTTTTCTTCTGTTGTTCTCTATATTTCTACTTCTAACTCCTCTACCCTTACTTTCGGGGTACCTCAGGGTTCTATCCTTGGCCCTCTTCTATTTATACTCTATACTTCTGAACTATCTCGTACTATTAATAATTTTTCTTTCGCTAGTCAACTATATGTTGATGATTCTTATATTTATACTTTTTTTCCTCCATCTAATCGCAATAGAGTTCTTCATTATCTATCTCTCTGTCTTTCTTCAATTATCGCATGGTCTGGCTCTATGTATCTTATACTTAATCTTTCAAAATTTGAATAAATTTGTTTTAATAAATCTAAACACTCTATTATTATTTCTTCTAATATCTTACCTGATTCTAAAACTCTTGATGTCTCTCATAAATTTTGTAGTCTAGGCTTTATCTTTCATTCTACAATGTCTCTTTCTTCTCAGATTAATAGTGTTGCTAGAAGTTCTTACTTTCATCTACGTAGAACAAAAAACTTTTGCCTTTTCTTGACGATCCTACCTTCTCCTTCTTGTTACTTCTTTAGTTTTATCTAAGATTGATTTTTGTAACTCGCTCTACCATGGTCTTCCTTATTCTACACTCTATCTTTTAAGTAAAGCTTTTAACTCTGCTGCTCGTCTAATTGTTCGTGCCCCTTTCTTTTTTCCATATCTTGCTCTTTTGCACAGCTTTCTATAATAGATAGAATAATTTTTAAAATTCGCATATTTATGTATGAGTCTCAATCTAAATTATTTTCTAAGTACTTATGAGATACATTAATTGAACCTAAACGCCCCGATTTACGATCGTCTTCTTGTTCTCACTTCTTCTTAACTCGTGTTAAACAATCTTTCGCTAAATCTGCATTTACTTTTTCTGGCCCTTTTCTCTGGAACTCTCTACCTACTTCTCTGACTACTTCTCCACAACTTACAAAATTCAGAGCGGATCTCAAGACCCATCTGCTTGCAAAATTTATTGAGAAGCGATGTTGAACATCGCGAAAATAGCGTTTTATAAACTAATTGATTGATTGATTGATCGAAACCAAAATTTAATAGTGAACCAGCAGCTATAATAATAATGAATGATGATGATAATAATAATAAAATTATTATTGAATAATAATAAATAATAATAATATTATCATTATTTTATTATTATCATCAAAATTTATTATTATTTATTTTTAAGATAAAAGGAGAAGTAAAAGATCAGAAAGCTCTCGTCACAGCTCGTCCGAAAATAAATAATTCGTTCATTCGTTCATTTCATTCGTTCATTGATTTATTCTTCACTCACTCACTCACTCACTCACTCACTCACTCACTCACTCACTCACTCACTCACTCACTCACTCACTCACTCACTCACTCACTCACTCACTCACTCACTCACTCACTCACTCACTCACTCACTCACTCACTCACTCACTCACTCACTCACTCACTCACTCACTCACTCACTCACTCACTCACTCACTCACTCACTCACTCACTCATTATATATATATATATATGCATATATATGTATATATATATATATATATGTATATATATATATTTCATTTCATTTATTCATTTATTTGAGAGATAAAAAAAATGTTTTAAAATTTTTTGTTGCTTCATTCGTTGATGGTTTAAAATTGAATATAAATAATGAATGTTTCATTCAATCTATTTTTAATACATTCATTCATTCATTCATTCATTCATTCATTCATTCATCCATTCATTCATTCACTTCATTTGTTCAACCAACAAATTTTTCAATATTTCAATCAAAATTCGATAATAACACTAATCACAAAACGAAAGCAGCAGCAATAACAAAAACAACAATAATACAATAATACTAGCAACAACAACCACAACAACAACATTATTAATAATAATGATATAAATTTTTCAATGATGTCGGTGACCCCGACCGTGGGGCCGTCCACCGCCCCCTCGACTATGACTACTATGCCGTGGCATCCTTCTCCTCCTAGCTGCACCTCTTCGCCTTATAGCCCGCGCTAGTTATAATATAAAATTATTTATAATTATTAATAATTAGGATTATAATTTTTATAATTATGCGTTTCGTCTGTTTAAAGTTCTCTGGCAACCTTTAAGATCTGCCTCAAAATAAGCCACTCCTAGCACTACCAGAGTGCGGCAAGTGGTTTCGAATGAACGTTAAATTCAGCGTGCTGTCAAATGAACGCAATGCTAACTCACCGCGATGAGATGCTGCTGTCCTCGATCTTGCTGACAACCTTTTATCTGGATGAATGAAAGAATGGATGACTGAATGAATGAACGAATGAATGAAGGGATGGATGAATGAATGATTGATTGAATAAATGAATGAGTGAATAGATGTATGGATAGATGGATGAATAGAAAGAGTATAGTATGATGAAGACAATTGTTACACAAAGAACATTCGTCGTTTTCACTGACTTCCTCCTTTGGTACCTCTCAAAACACTTTTTTCTGAAATTGATTTCAAAAACATACTCACACTGCACGCACACACCACCACACACTGCACGCACACACCACCACACACGCACGCACACGCACACACACACACACACACACGCAAACAAACAAACAAACAAACATACTTTTAGATATATTTTTAGATTTCCCACTAGAGTTCTCATCATCCTCATCATCTTCTTCATCGTCATCGTCGTCGTCATCGTGATCTTCATATTTAACAATTCCTACATCGCTTTCTAACTTTTCTGGTGGTGAAGACGACAATGGCGATGGTGATTTTAAAAAAAATGATATTGATTATCCGCTAGAAACACTCAAATACTGTATCGCCGATATGAAAACCGGCTTCAAATAACATTGCCGGTACCGGTTTTAAAGCATTGCCGACCATACCGGTAGCGATATTTTTGTAAGAGAAGTGCCGCGAGGAGGGCAGGCCAAGTTTTTAAAAATGGACACACAGATGACGACAAAACTTCTTTTTAAATTTTTAAAATTTTAAAAAATTTTAAATTTTTAAATTTCCAAATTCAGCGCTTATAAGACGCGCTCAACTAGGAAAGTTGAAATAGACCATTAAAGGATTTACAATCAACTTGAGGTTTAAACGTATCGCTATTGGTACTTTCAGTCTATAAAGGATCGGCGGTATCAAGTTCGATATTCGGTATCAAAAGTGTAAGCGGATACCGAAGCAAAAACCGAAGAATTATCGTCGATACAATATTTACAACTCTGCCATTAGCATTATAAGTTGATAAATATTATGCACTATCGCATAATCGTCATCCGTATCATCATCGTCGTCTTCATCATCATCATCATCGTCTTCATCATCATCGTCTTCATTATCATCATCATCATCATCTTCATCCTCATCGTCGTCATCATCAATACAAAATTTTCAATTTATTACTCCCGGGATCAATGGATGTCTGTTCTGAAAAATAATTATAATTATAAATATAATTATAAATATTATATTATAATTTGAAATATTAATTTTAAAAAAACTAAGGTCTCACCCGCTGCCTTTTCTGCATCCAGTGCAGCTATATATAATTAGTAACAACAACAACAATAATAATAATTATTTATTATTATTATTATTAAGACTTGCAGATTTTATTATTTTTTAATAAGTTTTACCAACCTTGTTTGGCGAGTTCCTCTAAAGTTTGAATGGGAAAAAAATGCGTTTGACTGATTGATTGGTTAGTTGGTTGATTGATTAATTGATTGAATAAATAATTGATTGATTGAATGGATGAATAAGTGATTGGTTAATTAATTAAATGAGTAATTGGTTGATTGGTTTGTTGATTTATATATCAACCACACAATCAATAAATCTTATAGATCATTTAACCCGCCTGCAAATTAACCAATCAATCATTCATCCAGCTATATAATCAACCAACTTTCATTCATTTAATCAATCAATCAATCAATAGAGCAATCAATCAATCAGTTAATTATCTAATCAATCAATCATTCAATCATTCAATCAATCATTCAATCAATCAATCAATCAAACCTTGTCTATTTTTTTCAGCTGCGATGTTAAATAATGCACGCATTTCAGTTGAATTCCAATTTTAAAAAAAATAATTTTGACATCACCACCACCAACACCACCAAACCACCTTCCACCACCACCATCGTCATCATCGTCGTCATCGTCATCTTCACCTTCTTCTGCCTCTTTCTTTTTTTTATTGTTATAATAGACCCCGGCACCAATGCAAAGGAACAGTAGGGCTCCACAGCCAATTGTAGGAACGAGATATTTCTTCTTGAAGTCGTCTGCAGCTTCTGTCGTTCGTGTTTTGCTTGTGTTGCTGGCTGTCTCGTCGAAGTAAGATTGGGTCGTCGGGATTGCTGTTTGATTGGTTGTTGGCATGGTGGCTTAAATTTTGATTGGTTGGTGGCTGGTAGCGTAGTTTTTGATTGGTTGTTGGTTGGTAGTGTAGTTTTTGATTGGTTGTTGGTTGGTGGTGTAGTTTTTGATTGGTTGTTGGTTGGTAGTGTAGTTTTTGATTGGCTGTTGGTTGGTGGTGTAGTTTTTGATTGGTTGTTGGTGTAGTGCGTGCTTTGTTCGATGTTTTTGATGCGTCTATTTGTTCAGTTGTCGTTAGGGTAGAGTGATTTTTGATTGGTTGTTAGTAGGGTGGCGTGAATTTTGATTGGTTGTTTGTAGGGTGACATTATTTCTGATTGGTTGTTGATAGAGTGGCAGGAATTTTGATTGGTTGCTGGCGGGTGCTTGAATAGGCATGTATGAAAATGTAGTTGGCTGTTTAATAATAAGTTTAACGTTGATAAATTAAACATCATAAGCATAAAAAACCGTGCCTCAAACTGAAACATTACCTAACGTATATCTAATAACAACTGTAGTTAGACATATCCGTATCATTAAAATCATAGTCATTTACCAGGTGATCTTGTGATTTAGTGCTCCCGTGTAGTAAAATAATAAAAATAATAACTTTACCATCGCGACAATGTTGTAAGACTCATAATTTCTCTTATAACACAATAATTATTGTATATATAATATATATATATATATATATAATTATTTATAATTTAAGCATAGTTACGAATGTTATTATCGGTTAGAAGATAATAAGAATGAATAAGTAAGAATGAAACATAAGACTGTTATTTTTTGTTATTATTATATTATAGTAAAGTTATTATTATATTATAGTGAAGTTATTATTATAATTATTATTATTTTGTGTTTGTTATTATCTACAATAAATATAAACAAAGAATTCACAATTTGTCAAATTTTGAGTGGGAAATAAACTTTAAAAGAACAATGGTATTATTTTGAAATATCTTTTTATCTCTGCTGTCTTTGCTCGTCATCATCTTCTTTTATAACTTTAAATAATGAATGAGCAAACGAATGAACGAACGAACGAACGAACGAGCAAACGAAGGAATGACGTATTAAAAAGCTTCAGATCTCAAAGCTGTACCTCTCAGAAATTGTTAATAGGAAGTTTGTTTCAAGTCCAAACCATGAAATCCTCTTATTGGAGAACTTTATTTCAAGATAACAGTAACAATAAAAATAAAAAATCGTCGTCATCTTTTCCCTTCACTGTTTCTTCCTTGTGTATCGATTCTCTGTGAAAATTATACAAACAACAACAATAACAACATCAACAACAACAGCAACAATAACAACAACATCAACAACAACACAACAAAAACAACAACAATAATAATAATAACAATAATAGCAATAATAATAATAAATAATAATAATAACCAAAACCTGGGTGGTGCTTGTTCTTTTTGATAGTCATAGCTACACAACATGATGAAGCATTTATTACTATTGTTATTATTATTA